AAGCCGTATGTTTCATCAGTGCTACGCTGCACCCTGACTGGCCCATGTCATCCTTGTGACCCTTCTGTAAGAGGATGTCCAATTGTCTACAGATGGGCTTTGGGTCTCCACTCCACACTGCCCCTCATTCACATTGATATGATTTTTTGTTCTGGGTCTTTGAAGCCTGATACCTGATCCCATCAACACCTCATGATCACACGGGCTGGGTATCACAAGTTTTCAGAGCTTAAAGAATAACTAGAAACCAGGGAAGGCTCATCAATATTCTGAATTGCTTTTACTAACATCTTTAACATTAATTCTTGATATTTGATTAATCTAGATATTGGGGAGTTAAAAATATATATTGAGTGACAGGGCCCCTTAAAGGATCTAATATTGTTTTAAACCTTGTTAAATATTGCTGTCAACATATGACTTTACTCTAACTTCCTATTAAAACAGCTAGTAACTCAAAAAGAGAAGCTGATACCAACGGCTCAAGTTGAAAAAGATTTTAAAAATGATGATGGCAACATATGTACAAGTGTGCTTGATATAATTGATGTATGGATTGCTATAAGAGCTGTAAGAGCCCTCAATAAAATTACTTATATTAAAAAAAATCTAGTAACTCCTGGTCAAGGAAGGTAGATGCTAGTGAACCATAGTTTAATAAATAAGCTATATAGAAAATTGAAAGTTTTTGGACTTTTCTGTGTGGGATCATAAAAATATAATAGTAAGTCGCTAATTTCTGCTATAACAGAGATGAAATCTCTGAGTGTGGAAGATTAAGAGCTTCTCATAACTACCACAGGATACATGTACAAACTGTATCAGTCCATTTGCACACACGACATGTTCATAGTAAGTCATCAGGTAAGACTAGCTCCTCCTTGGATTCCCTTTCAAAACCAGGTGTGAAATAGCAGTCTAACCTCTGTTGGTCACTGATGACGAAGTGATAGGATCTTGACAGTGGGAGAGTCGTTCCCTGAACCAGGAAGAGTGAGAAGGAGCCATGGCCAGGGCTTGAAGCTCTCCCTCGCTCTGTTCATTCTTCCTTTGCCACTCTTAGTCCCAAAGAGAAAAG